AACTTATGATTTGATTGGCTAATTATCATGTGAAAATACATTAATATTTGTGTAACATTGAACGTTTCCCTCTGTTCCCAGACAATAAATGTAAACTTAAATATGCAGATCTTGCATTGTGTAACTGTAGATCCCTATTGTTTATTTAATAAAACCATCCGGGATGGTCTCAACGCAGCTGGTTATGTGTCACACCTCTATAATTTACTTTAATTTTATTAAATACAGTGCAATATCGAACATAAGGGAAAAATATAATAAATGTGGAACTTAATTTGGACCTTCAAAGGTTTGATTTCTATTCTAGTTGATTTAATTGCAGGTAAATTTTAGTCGCTTATATACTTTTTAATTACATGTATGCATGAAATAAATCATTATAGTTAACTATTTTTCCTATTATGGTTAATCAAGAACAAGGCTTACAACGAATTTTTAAATACACCAAAAATTTTTTGAAATTTAAAAAAATTTAAAACGAAGGTTAGTTAATTCTATGGATAAAGCGGGTCTTGACTAGTAGATGGCTCGTTGGGACATCCCAAACTACGTGATGAATAATAAGGATCACACGGACTTAGCAATAATAATAAGGTTAAAGTGATATTATTCGTCGCATAGATTGTACCGTCCCAAAAAGTTAGGTTAAACATCATTGGCCTGATCCGCTCCAGTAGGTCAGTGTGGTGGCTCTTGTGCCCCTTTGGGGATGCGTTTGGCAAAGGGTGGGCTCTGTATTCCTCTGTAAGTAGCCGTGGTAGCTTTTTACTAGGCTCTTCGCTTTCCGTAACAGGATGCGTTCTGTGGAGAGGTGAGGCGCTGCATCTCGTCAAGTAGCCTAAATAGATATGAACTATCATCCCAACTTTTTGATAAAGGCTCGTAGATCCTGGAGGTGGGATCTGTTACGGATGCGTTTGTATCTAGCCATTCTGACCTGATTTAACTATCTGAGATATTGCTCACCTTTTTTTTTTTTTTTTTTGCAAATATTAGAGATAACATAACAGTGATTAGCCGTACTTTTACACTGTGTATTATTATAAAGTATTGTTTGACTAAGT